AAAGTTTTAAGCCTAGCCTTAAAAGTAGACAGGGTGTCTGCCTCACGGACTAAAACTGGTAGTTGGTTCCACAGGAGAGGAGCCTGAGAACTAAAAGATCTGCCTCCCATTCTACTCCTAGAAAGTGTGGAATATGAGGAACGTTACAATGGATACGTGTGCATATGTGATTACACATCTCCGATATTTCAGGAGGACTTTGCTATTTTAAAGTAGTTGTAAATTAAATTGTGAGCTCTGTGCAGCTATTGGTGGGTGGAGCAGCTCGGAGAGAGACTTCATTAGAGCCATGAGGACCTCAACACCTTCTGCAGCATATTTGCTGATCTTTAACAATCCTCTGATCTCCTGAATCACTGATATGGATCCAGTATGATAGCAGCACAGCAGAAACATTCATAGCTTATTCTGCGTTGAGGGATTGATGAATTGATATTAGCGTCCTGGGATTGGAGCAGATGATGCCATCATCTTCCTGCTGCAGTGAGCTCTGACTCACCCAGAGAAACCTGGAAGAGCTTCCAACACCATCCAGCCAGGACTCCTACAGGCCAAACTGGAGCTGTCAGGAGTGGACCAGCACATGTCCCAGTGGGTTCTGGACTACCTCACTGGCTGCCCGCAGTGTGTGAGGACACAGGGCTGTCTCTGATGGGTTGGTCTGCAGTACGGGGGTCCCACAGGGAACAGTGCTGCCACCGTTCATCAGCTCCCCACACTGCCTCCTCCAGACCTCCTCTGACCTTTCTGCCATAGTTGGCCTCATCACAGGTGGAGACGACTCAGAGGACAGACAGGGACCCAGAACTTGGTGGTCTGGTTCCAACAGAACCACCTTCTGACTAATGCAGGAAAACCAAGGAGCTAGTGGAGGACTTGCACAGGAGCAGATCCTCCCCACTGCCACCAGTGGACATCCAGGGACGGACATGGAGATAGTGGACTCTTCTAAGTACCGAGGTGTTCACCTGAAGATCAAACTGGACTGGACTCCCAACTGGACTGGACTGCTGCTATTTTCAAATATCCATCACTGTAAACATGTCCACAGCTGGATATTGGTTATTTATTCTCCAGAGTAAAATTGTTAAAACACTTTACAGGATTTGATTGTTTATCTTTTAACTCTTCACTATTCATTTTATTTTGAGACATTTTTCTATAATATTTTTTGCTGCTGAAAAATCAAGAATTTCCTCATTGAGGGACAATAAAAGGATTTTCTATTCTATTCTCTTCTATTCTATTGTCTTCTATTCTATTGTCTTCTGATAGAATCAAAGTGAAAAGGTTTAATGCATATTGTACCTCTCTGCTCACCTGTGGACTACATATAGAAAATCAACCTGCAAAGGCTGCAGGCTAACGCTAACGCTAACCCTATAATGATGCTATGCCGGTGCTTTTGAAACGTCTCAGATGGTCCATTGCAAGTGAGATGTTTGTCACAGCAAGAGTCAATACCCTACAAGCGGTTTTACCAAAGTTAATGTATAAGTTTATTTGTAGGTTAAATGCATCTGGAGATGATATTATTTCACTCACTGATACCACAGGTAGTTCAATCCGACATCTAAGCTGTGGAGACACTGGTATTCCTGTCTTCTTAAAGTTCCTATTTAGTCGATAATGGTACTTGTATTGTTTTTATCATTAACTATTTTTATCTTATTTTATGTATGTATTTATTGGACCATGAGTCCGAAATAATGTCTGTCTTTCTATCTATCTATTCATTCTATTCTATTGTCTTCTATTCTATTCTATTCTATTCTATTCTATTCTATTCTATTGTCTTCTATTCAGACCAGCGTGCATCCATTATTAACCAATCAGGTTGCAGCAGCGGGTCTAATGGTGGACAGCAGAGCAGTGATGTTTCTACATGCAGGTGGGATTAAAGCGGCACAAAGAAACCAGCGGCTATAAACTGACTTCATTTCCCAGGATGCACCGCTCCAGCAGTCTGGCCATATTGTTTTTTTTTGCTACATTGGGCCACTGGTGTCACAACTGAACATGTAAGTATTTGAACAATAATATTTAAACCTGTTTTTATTCAGAGTTTTAGTTTGTGGGAGAATCTGCTGCAGCGAGAAGCTCTCAGCGGAGCAGAGCTAGAAATATGTTTCTAGAAGCCGCAGCTCAGACCGCGGCTGCTGATCGGCAGCTTCTGTTGTTGTTTTCTCACATAGCGACATTAAATTACTCCTCAGGAGGAGCCGCGCTGCTCCTCCTGCTCCTTCTGATCTCCTCCTGCTGCTCCTCCTCCAGCGGAGCTAAGGAGGTTAAGCTGAGCTCCGTTCCTCCGCGGGTTAGCCATCGCTGTTAGCCACAGCAGCTCCTGGATGCTAGTTAGCTTTAGCTGAGCTCCAAAGCAGAGCAGCTTCCACGCCAATCTGTGCGCGTGGACTATCAGAGATCAAAGCAGCCGCTCTGTGGTCGCAGATTATTCCGCTGCTGGATTAAAATGAGCGTTTAGAGATCAAAGGATTAGATTTTCTCACATCTAAGGAATTAATCCATCAGTTTCTGTCAGTTCCGATTTATTCTTTCAAATCTGACAGATGAGGTTCGCGTGGGACCATCACCCCACTGTCCACGCGTGGCAGCTGCTAACAAAGGTGGACAGAATGGTTCCTCTTCTTCATCACTGAATGAACCAATCAGCGCGAGACTCAGAGATTAAACCTCATTTAGTGTTTTTAGGTTATTTTATTGACTAAATTTAATAAAATGATGAAGAACAGAGACTCTAATGTCTTTGATCTTCCTCCACAGACTGATCAACATTTAAATGTCTGTGTGATCAAATCTAAACCATAGAGTCTGGATATAGATTTTTATTTTTAATACCAGAATAAAGTCATAAAACTATTAGAATAAAGTCGCTATTCTCGTAATATTATGATTTTATTCTGGTATAACAAAAAGTTTAATCTCTCTAGTCAAACTCTAATCTGTTTTAGCACCAAACCTGCTGAATAACATCAAAGCTGAATTTACAACATAAACATGTAAATATAGAGATTATTCCAGGTCCTATGGGGGTTAAGACCTGGAATAATCTGCAGGAAAGGTCTGCAG